GAGAGAGAGAGAGAGAGAGAGAGAGAGAGAGAGAGAGAGAGAGAGAGAGAGAGAGAATGTTAGGAGAAAGGGCATCAAAAGTCAGCTTCAAAGTTTGAGGGTTTTTTCTGTGTTTCTGTACAACTTTATCAATGTTGGCAAGACATTTTGCCGGATTGTACATGCTCTAAAAGCTGGGGATGTGGTAGAGTTCTTGCTTTGCATGCACAAAACCCTGAGTTTGATTCCCAGTACTACAAAAATAAATACAGACAGACAGACGGACAGACAGACAATCAGGTAGACAGTAAGACATGTTTCTTAAAATTGAACGTAAGGAAATCCATACCCATTTTGAAATTTATAGCAACAATGTGCTCCTTGCCCGTGCTGAAAAACAAGAACATTCTTTTTCTACAAAGATCCCAACAGTACTGCTATTGGTGTAGAGAGGGGATGAGACCTGGCTACCCCGCTCTTACCCTGAATAGAATGGGAGGGCCTGAGAGCCACTGGCTTTCGTGGCTTCTCCTTCCCATAGGAACAGTTGGCAGTAGGATGTGGTAAATTCCTTTCAAGCTCTAAATTCTTTTTTTTTTTTTTTTTTTTTTGGAACCGGGAATTGAACTCAGGCCCTTGCACTTGCCAGGCAAGTGCTTATTCTACTGAGCTATTTCTCCAGCACCAAGCTCTAAATTCTTTTACTCTTGTTGAAATGGACTATTTTAGAATTTTGCTTTCTTTAAATGTGAAAATATGGGAATGTCTCTATGATATGCATTCTTTTGTTTTTCTAGAGTTAGTTTAAAGCCACTTAGGAAAAAAAAATAATTTCTAGAAACGTCTTCATCATGTATCCTGAAGGAGCCCCTTTGACATTTTAAAGTTGTTTGGGCTATGAGTTTTTTGGTACTAACTTCTCGTATTAATGGCTAGTATCATTAATGGCATTACTAATGAATGGTTAGTACCATTTTGTGCTACTTTTTTTTTTTTTCTGGAACCAGGCATTGAACTCAGGCCCTTGTGCTTGCCAGGGAAGTGCTTATTCTACTGAGCCACTGCCCCAGCCCCTGTGCTACTTTTAAAAATAACTAGTAAAGTGGAATATAAATAGTAAATAGTTTATATAAATATTTTACAGGGGCCAGGGAAATAGCTCAGAAT